TAATTTAGCACAATAACACAATCAATGTACTTTGAATGTCGTAAAATGGCAGTTTTTTTATCTTTTATCGCATGAAACTAAAACATAAATATTTTTGACAAGACGTAAAATAATAGCGTGATACATTTTCCTTATTTGCGTTGGTACTCAAATTTGACAAATATGAAAAAATAAAACAAAATTAATTTGGTAAGTAAAGTTTGTATTGTAATTAATTAAATTTACGTTTCACACTTTTAAAAAGTTAATATATTTGATACGAAAAAAAAACAAATAAGAATATAAAAGCAATTACTTATTCATATATTACTTATAATTAAGCAAAAAATAAAAATATATTTAAAATATAAGTATGAAATATCAAAAAAGTTAATGCATCGGGTTTGAGTCTGACTCAAATAATCTGATTTGAATCAATTTAACACGAACTCGACTTGTTTGGCAAAAAAAGTGGGCTTGAATCCAACCCGTCGGTAATACGGGTGATCTAAATACGACTTGATACCTGACTTAAAATTGATTCACATGCATTATTAATGTTTTAAAATTTATTATGAATAGTTGTTTTTAATGCTATAATTTTTAGTATGGCCCTTACTAAAAAAAACTTATACTTCTTTAAATAGGAATTTGGCCTATGGTATGCGTCCCATCATACATCACTCCTCATTTTGTGTATTTATCCCAATAAATGTCTTGCCACATTCCTCCATTCTCCTCACTTACCAAAGTCCTCCTCTCCTTCACATTATTTAGACTTAATTGTGTTTATGAAAGTATGTTGTGTTTAATTTCTCTCTTATTTAGGAGACATGAATAGATAATTATGTGGCTTTCTAATTCAAGCTAAAAAGATTTAAGAAAAATTCAATGATACATCTAGGTAGTAATAATGGTAGAACATGTTTAGCATATCTATATCTTCAACATAGTGATATCTTGTTTGAAACAAAGCCCATATCCATTATCTTCGAGGCGATTTTTCTAGGGTTGGCGTTTCTGGCTTTCCGACTGGATTTCTCCGGTGATATTCGTCCTTTAACTTTGGTTTTGCTCGTTTCTCTGGCTTCTCTCTCTTCTGAGGGTTTTCTCTCCTGCGGTTTTGGTATGGGAAACCAGGAATGGATGGTAAATCTCGGTCCTTCAAAGATGCCCTTGCTGGGGGTTCCCTTTCTGCTCCGAAACTGTCTTTTGTGCATGCTTCGGTTAAAGGAGTTCCGGTTTTACTTTTTGAGGAAGCTGTTGTTGATCAACTTGCTGCTCCTTTTGCTTTTAGTTTAGTTGGTAAATTTATTTTACGGAGGCCTAATCTTGACATGATTAGTAAGTTTTTTTTCAATCTTAAGCTCTCAGGTTCCTTCCATGTGGGATTACTGGACCAAAGACATATTGCTATTCAACTCTCGAATGATCTAGACTACAGTCGCATTTTCTCGCGTAGAGCTTATTACATTCAAGGATGTCAAATTAGATTGTTGAAATGGACCCCGAATTTTGATGTGAGGGAGGAATCACCAATAGCTCCTGTTTGGTTAGCTTTCCCTAACTTGAGACTGCATTTTTTTAACCAGCAGATTTTATTTGGTTTAGCATCGATTTTTGGCCGTCCGCTCCAAACGGATCAAATATTAAAAATTGTCTTGCGGGTTTAAATTACTCTTTTGTCAGTATGTTACATGGGAGCAATCTTTGTTCTGCTTGGCTTGCCCAATTTGGCTGTAATTTAATGGATACTCAGGACTTCACTATGATTAATTGCCCTAAAAGGTTATTGGGGTATTTGAAACTGGAGGAGTTGGAGGTGCCGTATGTTTGTAGTTGAGTTTTTTTTTTGGTGGTGTGGGCTTTTGTTGTTGCTGGTTTGCGGTTTGTTCCTCTATTTCTGTTTTGCTGTGGCTGGGTGGTTCATCTGGATTGTTGATTGGTTGGTGTGGCAATCCAGTTTCTTGCTGTTGAGGTTTTTGTTTTATTGGTATATTTTCGGCTACTGGTTGTTTCTGCTTACTGGGAATGTTGTTTTCTGTTGCCTCTCTCCACTGTTTTAGGATGGTAGCGGGTCCTGTTATTGTCTGTTGATGATTTTGGTCTTTTCTTTCCTGGCTCTGTGTTGTTCTCTGATCAGTGGGAGGGAGTTTTGGGTTTTCCTTTTCATCAGGTTTTTTGAGGTTTTTTTTTGGCATTTTAGCAAGCTCTGTGCTCTTACTGGGAGCTTTTCTTTTTCTGTTGGGGGGTTGGCGGTGCCCAGTTGCGGCATTCGTCTCTATCTTTGTATTTTCGGTTGGGGACTGATTAATCTTACTTCTATCAATGATATCAATGATAAATATATGATTTCTAATCTCTATTTATGGAGGTTTTTGTGCAGGATTATCAATTCGTCTTATCGGGACATTTTGGATGACCTCAAGGTACGCAGTTATTTTATCGCACAATCTTTTTTCCAGTTAGTTGTTATTTTTTGCAGGAAGTTCGTCCTGAACGATAATTATTGAATCTTCATTTTTTGGGTGCTGTTGCTTATCAGCCCGTCTTTATTTTGGAATTATTTTTGTAACTTTAGGATAAGGACTGACCGGATCATAGGTTTTCTTTTCTTTTTTTGGATTGTAGCTCTGTGGAGCATTAGTGATCTGGTCGGACCTTTTAAGGACTTTGTAACCGCTTTTTCTAATCAACACGTAGGCCCCTCTGTGGTTTTTAATTAAAAAAAATAAAAAAATAGTGATATCTTGTATACCGCAAACTAGGTGATGCGAAAATTGCAAATGATATATAATATGCCCTCAACATTTAACAATTACTTGTTTTTAATAGTTTTTGATTTAAATCTTCCTCCGTATATACATAATGTTAACACAGTCATAATTTAACTTTTTATGGGATTACAGTAACCTATTTATAATGGAAATAATATATATTAAAAATAAAGAATATATTACAAAGTTTAACAAGATTTTAAGAGCCTTATTATTGTCGCAAAAAAAGAACTCTTAATCCACAAAAAAGATTTAATCATAATTTTGTGAGTTCTAATTCAATATTCATAATAATTACAAGATCTCAATCACAATTTAATATTTTATAGAGTTAGTAAGGGGAAAATTTAAACTATATAACATCCACACAAAAAGTTGTTGTTTAAAAGATATGCTCTCTATAATAAATATCTCATAAAGAGTTAATATGAATCTCTTGCTTGCTAACTTATATAGCGAGATCATAGTATTTAATTATAAGGTTTTGGCTAAACTATTGCTTGGTTTATAGTTTTTCTGAAATAAACATTATTTCAACCACTAATATGAGCAAGATTAATGAACATTCATCATTTACTTAGACAAGAAGACAATTAATTTATTAAACAAATATATCACAAAAAGACACCAAGTGTTTTCGATTTGCTCAAGCAGTTGAACGGTGGCAGTGGGAAGGAGGGTATTGGTTGATGCTACGGCGGCGCGGTGTTATGGACGATAGTCGATAAATCGAAGGGGTAATAGAAGAGGCTCGATCGAAGGAGAGAAAAGGAAAATTATAAGGAGGCTTGACCCTAAACTTATGAGAGATTATGACTCTTCAAAACATTTTTACGGCTTCTATAGCGGCGATTTAGTCCTCTTCTAATGATTAGCAACAATTTAAACCACCACGCCACTATTATCAAAGGTTTAAACCACCGCTATTAGCATCAATTAAAAATGTTCAAAAAAGTCATCTATAGCTATAATTTTAAAACCGCTTCTATAAGTGTTGCAAAAACAACACATTTTTGATAGTGAGTATATGCCATAGTTCTTCCAATATAAAAATTTTGTACTTTCTAACAGTTACTCTTTTTTAATGAATATTATTTTTTCAAAATAAAAAAATATAAAATTTTTCTTAAATATTCTACATGCTATAATTAAAAGCATGTTTTTACCGTTTTTGCAACTCTGCATATATCATACAAATTGTTTAAAATGAATACTCACAATCTCATTTAATTTAGCACAATAAACACAATCAATGTACTTTGAATGTCCTAAAATGGCAGTTTTTTATCTTTTATTGCATGAAACAAATTTTTTTATTTTAAGAACATAAATATTTTGGACATGATGTGAAATAATAGCGTGATACATTTTCCTTATTTGCATTTGCATTGGTACTCAAATTAAGTTGACAAATATGAAAAAAACAAAATTAATTCAGTAAGTAAAGTTTGTATTGTAATTAATTAAATTTACGTTTCACACTTTTAAAAAGTTAATATATTTGATATGAAAAAAACAAATAAGAATATAAAAGCAATTAATTAAGCAAAAAATAAAAATATATTTAAAAAATAAGTATGAAATACATCATTCATTTCCCCCTTACAAATAAGAGTGTCAAATAAGTTAATGCACCGGGTTCGAGTCTGACTCAAATAATCTAATTTGAATCAATTTAACACGAACTCGACTTGTTTGGTAAAAAAGATGGACTTGAATATAACCTGTCGGTAATACGGATGACCTAAATACAATTTGATAACCCACTTTGATTAATAAAAGTTTGTAACTTGTCAATTATAAAGTTTAGATTTTTGTTAAAAAATAAGAATAACATACTAACAAATAAACAAAATATATGAAAAAAAATAGTTAAATAAGTCATCGTTAGGAGTTCGTGGGTCCATTTAGACTCGTTTCACCAATTATATGTGTTACGATTTCAAACTCGTACTCGATTTGTTTAGTAAATAGGTCAATCAGAATCTAAAATTTTTGAATTGAATTCAAATTCGAACCTGATCATTTATTGACACTCTTAAAATTTGAGTCATTAAGATAAACTCATACACATATTATATGGGCAACGTAAGTTTCAAATCCGAGATCTTAGCGCAAAAATATAACAATTTTAAATTGTTTTTAATCATATTAAAGCAGGTATTACATTTGGTTAGTTATGGTGGGGACCAGTGGAACGTTCTATAAATTAGCGAGGTTTTTTCCACTCTCCGTCGCATAGAGAGCAAGTGCGTCTTTTTTCGTTCGCTCTTGCTCCTCCTGGTTCCCCTTTTCCCTCTCTTTATATTTTCTTCGCAAGCACAGGTAAGAGACTGAGAGGGAGAAGTGGAAGTCGAGGTGCCTGCAATGGCGAAGAACTTGAAGTTTCTGCCTCTGTGTGTTATGGGCTTTCTTGTGCTTCTCGCAGGTGGCCTGGGGTGGATTGGTGCCGGAGGAAAGATCTCTGCTGCCAGGTGCATTGCCCTTTTCAATTTCATTCTGGCTTCTTTTTTTGGGGGGTTTAATTTTATTTTGAATCTTGGTTCCCGGATTTAAACGGTTTTGTTCAGAGATGTGTTCTTCTTCTTTGATGGCAAGAAAGGTATAGGCTGTGTGAGCAAATTGGGGGTTTAATTTGAATTTCGTTTGGGTTAAGCAGTGAAGAAGAGAGTCATGTTGGGGTTTGTTGCATATGTAAGCTGTTCTATGGGTGTTTGTGAAAGTCGAGAGAAATTGGTTGGATTCCTCGTCGATTCGCATTATTTTTTTTTTCATTTCTTCAAGTTGTTCTTCAGCTCATTATAGTTGGAAGTTATAAATTTACTCTCTTGTCTTCCGAAGCAAATGCTGGAGCAAAGAGGAACTGATCTGTTAAATTCGAGCTAAATTAAGCACTATAATATCCTTACAGGACTACTGGAGCAGCTAGGCGGAGTTTAATCGAGAAGGCAGAGAGCGCAAATTTTTCTACCACAGCGAGGTCAGTTCAGTTACCACAAGAACTCTCTGTTTCAGATCTTCGTTTATTCCCATTATTTTCGTCTCCGGTGTGATCTGCACTTCAGATCTGGTTACGCCATTCCCGCTTTGTTCAATTTGTTCTTTGAACTCGCTTTCTTCAAGGCAGAAAAATTATGAATGAAATGAAAGAAAAAAAAAGCTAGGCATGAAAATAAAGAAATTAAGTAATATCAAATCTCCCCTCTCCATTGACCGTCAAATCAATGCTCTTTTTCACTCCCTGAGACCCACCAGTCAATCTAGTTTCCCCCCTTTTTTTCTCTCTCCGATTGAAACCGACCACCTCGAGCTAAGTATTCTACTACTAATATCCAGGCAATGCCCGAGGAACTGCAACTTCTTTTTCAGATTTCCCTTATTAAACTTTACTTTTTGGATAAAATTTTTAGTAAATTATTAAATTATTTGGATAAAATTTGGAAATTTTTTAATTTTCTTCTCATTGTCTTGCAGGTCTGAACTGGGGCCGGTGATCGGGGCTGTCGACGATCCAGAGAAGGTTGCCTCTGAGGTTCACATGTAAGTAATCTCCCTCTCTATCTCTCTTGTTCCCCATATAATTTTTGAGCTTTATATAGTTCATAATAATCTGATTGAATTTTGAAAAAAAAAAAAAACTGATATCTTATAGCTTTCGGCATGCCTTTTCTGTTCTCGGAGGTCGTTTGCTCTGCACCGTTGTCGGACTCGACTTTGGAAGCAGAGCCTTCCCTGTTTTCACTGGGATCTTTGGATCCGTTTTCCTCCCATTGGTTCCTTTAATTCTTTCTTGTCGAATCTTTACCTATACTATCACGTTCTCTCCATTAATGGCTCGCAGTATTTAGTTGCCTTCTTTCTCTGCATCTTTACCCTTTCTTGGGCTTTTTCTCAGAACCTCGACCCCTGTCCCGCCCTTTGCTCCCTTTCCTCTTGTGCGCTGAGAATGCTCCCATTCACATGAGTTGTACCACCCCACACTTTCCATTTATTGCATCTGTTGCAGTTATTGCCTCCAATGGCCCTCCATCTCGCCCGATCCATTTTTCATGTGCTTCGAATTTATGGATCACATGCTCTGCTTTTTCTCAGTAACAATGTGTCCGTAATTCCAGTGCAGCTTATGCCTTGAATTAAAATGTGGAAAATTTGGAAACAGGGCGATCAACGCAAGCACGACGAGGCGCAACCTGGCTTTCCTGTCATGCGGCACCGGAAACCCCATCGATGACTGTTGGCGCTGCGATCCTAACTGGCAGACAGAGCGCAAGCGGCTCGCCGATTGTGGCATTGGTTTCGGTCGCAACGCCATCGGAGGCCGCGACGGACGCTACTACGTCGTCTCCGACCCAAGCGACGATGATGCAGTGAACCCCCGGCCAGGGACTCTCCGTCATGCCGTGATCCAGGATGAGCCGCTCTGGATCGTGTTCAAGCGCGACATGGTGATTACTCTGAAGGAGGAGCTCATCATGAACAGCTTCAAGACCATCGACGGCCGTGGCGTCAATGTCCACATCGCCAACGGAGCCTGCATAACCATACAGTTTGTGACCAATATTATCATCCACGGGCTTCATATCCATGACTGCAAGCCCACCGGAAACGCCATGGTGCGAAGCTCACCTTCGCATTATGGTTGGAGAACCATGGCTGATGGAGATGGGGTTTCCATCTTCAGCTCGAGCCATATTTGGGTTGATCACTGCTCGCTCTCCAACTGCGCCGACGGACTCGTGGACGCTATCATGGGGTCGACGGCCATTACCATCTCCAACAATTACTTCACACACCACAATGAGGTAAATTTCCCGTAGCTTATTGAAGGGACCAATGAAACAGGAATGAGCAGTACCTTCTGTGGATGCAGGTGATGCTTCTGGGCCACAGCGATTCCTACGACAGAGACAAGGCGATGCAGGTTACCATAGCTTTTAATCATTTTGGAGAGGGTCTTATTCAGCGAATGCCAAGGTAACTTTGAATACTATCTTTCACTGAAAGAAATATGAATTCAGAGCTCATCAAGCAGAGCTTTCTCAGATGCAGGCATGGCTACTTCCATGTGGTCAACAATGATTACACTCACTGGGAGATGTATGCAATTGGTGGAAGCGCAGATCCCACCATCAACAGCCAGGGCAATCGATATCTCGCTCCGACTAACCCATTTGCCAAAGAGGTAAATAAAATTCGATCAAATTAAGCGAAAAATCCGAGCTTTTTTTTATCAAAGGAGCCTGCTTGCATGTTCAGGTGACGAAGAGGGTTGAAACAAATCAAAACATTTGGAAGGGGTGGAATTGGAGGTCAGAGGGGGATCTTCTTCTCAACGGAGCCTTCTTCACTCCCTCCGGCGCTGGGGCATCTGCGAGCTATTCAAGAGCATCAAGCCTTGGCGCCAAGTCTTCTTCCATGGTGGCATCCATCACCTCCGGCGCCGGAGTTCTTTCCTGTCGCGCCGGATCTCAATGCTAGTCTCTGCGTCAATTACAAGAATGCAAAAAACAGAAACCTCTTGAATTGGACGATATCATTAAGAGTTTTCTTTGATTTTTTTTTTTTTTTTTGAAGTTTAAAGGCCGGTTACAGTATTATCCAGGTCACAAGTTGTAACCTCCCCCTGCTTCTACTGTAACTCTGAAGATATGAAGCAGGCGTGGACGCGTTGCTGATTTGATTTACCAAACCTTTATTTTAAGATTAAGCCTGCTGCCTGTGTGGTGCCAATTACCACTTGTTCTACCTCTTACAGTCACTATCCTCATTCTATGATATTGAAAATGGATACATTGCAAACTTGTTTGAATTAATGCTCGGCTTCCCTCTTTCATCTTTCTTCTTTATCCACATGGATTTGAGTCTCAATTTTCTCTTTTAATTTCTTCTAATCATGCTATAAGATTCGAACTCAAAACCTCTTAATATCAAATAGACAAAAAATTATTGTTGCAAGTATCCTAGTGATGGAAATTATGGCTACAAATGAACCGATAGGCTTGACAAGCTGCATGTAAGTCATTTAGATTTGAATTTGTTCATGATCATTAGATTAACTTATCTCAAAATTTTGAAAGCTTTTATAAATATTTGGTTGATAAGTTTGAATAACTTGGTTTTTGGTTTGTTTAATCATCATAGATAAAATCATTTAAGGCTGATAAAAAGCTTGACAACATGATTTGAAAGTAACGTTGAAGAGAAACCACTAAGAATGGCCCAAGCAAAAGGGGGTGGCCAAACAGAGCATTAAGGTAGTGGAATGCACTATAAATGTTGGACAAAATATCCCTCAGAGGTGGCAATAAAACTAAAAGTCTTGAGAGTTGAGCATTGATTAAAGGAGATTGAGATAAATTTTCTTTCTTGAAGTACCAAAAGTTGATGAGCACAAAAATAAGTTTTCTAAGGTGATTACAATTGTTAGATGGCCTTACTCCTAAGCCAATTTGATCGAATTAACTTGGTCGAGGTCAAATCAAGAGCTAAAACTTCAATAAAAACACACACTGATTTGTAATATTATAACAAAAAATAACAGGTCGATATATTTTGAATTGAAATAAGCAACAAATATAAGAGATTTCTTGAAGACTATTTTTCATAATAAAAGAAAATATTTTATCTTATAAAAAACTATTTACTACTTTGTTGATTATCATCTTATAATGTAAAATAGATGTCTTTTAATTAGAAAGAAATATTTATAATTCAAAAAAAATATATTGTACTCTAAGCTAATTCTTTTTAAATATATTTTTATCTGTATTATTTTGAATGGCTAATATATAGACATATAAAGGTAAACAAAGTATTTAATAATATTAAATTCTTGAATCCTAAGTGGCCTAACTTTAATTTAATATGCTAATCATAAATAGTCGGGATAACACTAATGATGATTATCCTCTGATATGATATTCTCTTTTCCTCAATCTTTAGTTTAGCTCTCCCATACCATAGGAGAGCTATGATCTTGTCCAATGAGTCATATTAGCTAATTGATTCAATGCAAGTGAATGTTTCAACCTTATGTTTAGGCTAATTTCACTTATTTGGGCAACATTGCTTTCAACTAACAAAAAAGAGTGCTTGATCAAGATTTTTCTCTTTTCTAAATGAAGTAGATCTTGTGATAAAATAAGGGAGTAAAACCTCTAGGCAATTTGGATGGTATATGTTTACTTCTTTAAAAGTTTGAAAAACTTGAAGCTTATTTTTAATGGGAAAAAAAGACAATATGAGAATATTCTTTTTATATAAGAGATTTTATAATTAAAAAAAATGAAAAAAGAAAAAGGTCCACTAAAGTAGGACTAATAAATTTTATCTCAACTCATAGAAAATGCTTATGAGAATCAAATTATTAAAGTCAAATGTCATGTTTAAGAGGAGAAATTGGATTAATCAGTCTTTGAAAGGGATCCTATTCCCTTAGATTATAAGATTGCTTACTAAAGAAAGCCTATGCCATAAGAACTATCCATTTAGATTTACAATTATGTATGGACCAAGACTACCAATAGCTAACTTGTTACAAATCCACCTAAGCATATTCAATTAAATTATGTTGTTAAGTTAGGAATCATCCTCAAAGAAATGATATAAATGCAAAATTATATATCTTTAAAGTGAAGAATTTACGTATCTTGGCGCAGTAAGTAGACTAATAAACTTTATAATTTGTATCATACCAAATATAGCATATACAAACAAGTATTATATAAATGACTAATCTTAAAAGAGAACATTAGAAGGATATTAAGTGGATCTTTCGATGCTTAAAAGGGTCAATTGGTATTGATTTGTTTTACCCAGAAGGAACTAGAGATTTAGGCTTCATTTGGAAAGACTTTCTTATTGCATCTTAAAGCAACTCTCTAATACAAAAATTAAAATTTTGTACTAGAAAACTGCTTTAAGAAGCAATAAGAAAGCTGCCCCAAACAAAGCTTTAGATAGAAAAAAATTCATGAAAAGCTATACTTTCTATGTATGTAGGAATTCTATGAGTTGGAAGGAAAATATTTATTTTGTTTTTGCCTTGTTATCTATAGAGGAGGAAAACATGGCTATTGGTGTGCTATAAAGTAAGATTTGTGGGTGAAATTAAAATATTAAAAGAGCTTAAGAGTAGAAGAATGAAAATTATAATCTACTCTAATTGTCAAAGTGTCATACAACTTAAGAAGAACTAGATATTACATCATATAGCAAAATACATTGACATAAGATTACGCATTATCAGAGAAAAATCTTACTAAAAAAGGGTTCAAATAATTAATATTGATGAAAATAATAAATATATGTTAACTAAGACTTCGTTTGGAACGACTTTATTACTGCTTCTAAAAGCAACTTTTTAGTACAAAAATTAAATTTTTTGTACTTAAAAACTACTTTAAGAAATAGTAAGAAAGTGTTCAAAATTGAATTCCAAAACTACATTTTTCTTCAAATTGGGAGAAACCTTTGTTAAAGTGATACCAAGATTTAAAGAGATTTATTTGGTCAAAAATAATGATCTAAGGTGAAGATTGTTAGTTTGATGTGGATCAGATTCTGATTGTTTAACTTTTCATTTGCTATTTCTTGATATATAGCTATTTTGCTTTCATGATGTTTAATCTTCCTTTATATGGCATTTGTTGTTGCAACTTTATTTTTTAGCTCTTCTTTTATTTCCTTGTAGGTAGCTACATTGGGCAAAGAGGAATAGGAGATTGGGCGAGAAAATACATAAGAAGGGTTTGAACAATAAAGAAATTGAGAGGTAGGAGAATGGCTATTAACAATTGTGAGAGTTACTGTGTGCATTCTTTCTTTTGTTGGATGTTGGGAGGCACACATGTAAGGGTGGTGTTCGAGGGGTTTCTTCCTTAATTGTTTCATGATTACAATAACAACAACAATATGAAGCCTTTGTTCCACTACGTGAGGTCGGGGAATCATTTTTTCTCCATTGTATCATTTTAAAAGTCAAATTATTGCTTAAATCTAAAAATGAAAGATCATTTATAATATTGTATAACAAAGTCTTTTTAGGTCTACCTCTACTTTAATATAATTCAAATATAATACCTCCACTTTCCTAACCGGGTCATCGGAAGGCCAATGTGGTGACTCTCTCTAATTTTATCTTCCACTGGATCAACTCCAACATTTTCATGTATATGCTCATTTCGTATCCTATCTCCAAGGGTAAATCAACTCATCCACCTGAGCATCCTCATCTTTGCAACACTTATTGTTTCATGATTGAGAGAGATAAGAGATATGGAGCAAGGCTACCATTAATGTTTGAGAGCCAAGAGTGAAAAATTAAGGGCTATTGTTGGTTTCTTCTTTTTCCTTCTTTACCGCTCAGTGCATGGAAAAACTATGAGTGTGCTTCACCATCTTCTTCCTCCATTAAAGTGCTTGGGTTGGATCAAGAAGGATTGCAAGTCATATCTATATGAACAACAACAGTGAAAAAGCTTACAGATCATGTAATTGGCAGAGCAATGGCTTCAATAAAATGAAGTCTCTTTTTCTCCCTACAGATATAGACACCCACTATACCGAGCCATGCATTTCCAGTATGTTCTTGCTACCATTTTTCTACTGATTGTTCTTGCAATTACTATACTGTTCTAAGTTTTTCATTTGGCTGGATATTTCTATGCATTGTATTTATTAGTTTTCTCTTATAAGAGTAGGCTTGCAATTTACAACATAGGAGAGATCCAAACAATTAATTTTTTTCTACCCTCTTTCAATTCTATCAAACCACACAGAGCTTAAATATTTGAGAAATCAAGCTTTATCAGGCCCTGAAGATTTGAACTGGCTGATATTGCTTGAAATCAAAGGAGTATTTTCATGAGAAGACAATAGTACATAGGTGTACTTTTGTTGGCTTGCTAAAAATCACCACAATAAATCCCTCACCAAAGCTTCAGCTATATCTACATTCCAAAAATTCAAGTACATGATTTCATTAATGATAACTAATACATCACCTAAACTTGGACCAGACTCTTCATCACTAATACAAGAGAGACAACCGTTGCATGTGAGTGAACTGCCCATCACTATTCTCGTGGCTGTAAGAACATTTAAGACGCCATGTATTTTGGAAGGTTTTCATTGAATTTGAGACCCACATACAGAGAGAGAGAGAGAGAGAGAGAGAGAGAGAGAGAGAGAGAGAGAGAGCAGCTATTCTCCAATGGTTTGAAGCTAGAGAAGGATGTAATAAAGAGGAGGACACTCTGTAGTCAGATACTAGACATGGGCTTGTCGTTAGTTTTTTATTAGACCGTATCTCTCACATCAGATCCATTTATCTTCCAAAATGGCAAGCCAACTTGTCGGCTGGGCACAGCAATCAGTTCTTGCCACCCCCAGCCTGTAAATCTATGATTTGGCAACTCATAATTATTATAATTTCAGGGGGGTAATTGAACGAATCATGGTAAGGCTTAATGCCCAAAGCTGTTGAAATAGTAAAATCAATTGTTATATCATGTGAGCAATGTTTCAGTTCCGTCTCAAATCATTCCAGCTTGGCTGATAACGTATCTATTTTGATTGAGACATTTGTGAGCGGTCCAAATCTTCTTATTTTCTAATGTCCTTTGGGCCAATTTTTTTCTATGAAGACATATGACAGTGTTGCAGTACAGACTTACAATTTCTCTAAATTGTTAAAAGTTGAATCGAATGACTTTGTGTAATTTAACAAAAACACTTAAATTTTAGTGTTTATCTATAAACAAGAGATTCCCAAGGAACCATAAAGAAATCCCATTAGGATCCAAAAAGCCTC